AAGCACCAGGAGCAAATAAACTGTCTGCAGCATAACTCCAGATCTGAATTATTACAACAGGCCATTCCCACTTAATGAAAACACTGGGAAAATACTTACAGCTGGGAAAAACAATATACAGCACATAAAATCATCTGCCTGAGTCCTGTATGGAAGAAATACTGCTCCTGGTGAAGTTTTTCTGAGGAAAAAGCCCATTTATTGGCATCAAATTACACCATTTGATATTCAGATCTTTCCTAGAGGCACGTGAGGTTTGATGGGATCTGATGGGACAGGAGAGAGTCACTGCTGGATCATGGAATCATGGAATGGTTTGGGCTGGAAGGGACTTTAAAGCCCATCTAATTCCACCCCCTGCCATGGGCAGGGACACCTTCCACTAGCCCAGGTTGCTCCAAGCCCCATCCAACCTGGCCTTGGACACTTCCAGGGATCCAGGGGCAGCCACAGCTTCTCTGGGAAGAAGGAGGGAATTTATGGTCTTCCAAACAGCAATATGTGTTTAGAAGACCATAAATACTTTCACATCTTCTGTATGTAAAGCTGAGAAATACCAACTATAGGGGGGTGTGGGGGCAGACACAGATTTTTTGGAAGACAAGGGGGCACAAATAGGAATAAAAACGTTGACTAGGAATTGCCAAAACAGCTCAAACTGGGCTGAAACTCAACTGCACAATGTGCAAATTATGAGGAGCAGAGAGGAGGAAACAAAGGCCAGTTTGCTTGCAATTCATTAGCTTTGCAAAGGTTACCAATGGCTGGAACATCATTTCTCCTGCGGCCCCAATTAGAAGGGAATATTAACGACCCCAGAACGGCACCGTCCTGCCCAACCTTTATCCACTGACATTTTCCTAGTTTAAAATATAATGTGGGACAAAATAAAGGGAACCAAAGCCTGGCTTGGTCCTGAATTCCAGCTCCAGAAGGTGCTCCCAGAGTCCAACAGCAGCTAAATGAGGCACAACCCTGTGCCCACAGGAGGCAGCTCCTAAATGAAATGGAAATTAAATCCTGCATCCTGGTGCTGTTGGAATGCAGGGCCAGGTTCCTGCTTTTCCACACTGTGTGCCTCACAGGCAGCCCAGCCAGTGCCTGGGATATTCCATGAACCCAGCAGTGCTGGAGTTTGGCAATCCTTGCCTGCTGGAAGGACTGGTTTGACCTAAATCATCCCAAATGTCAGCAACGAAACCGAAAATCCCAACCTCCCGTTTCCCTCTGGGGTTCTCCAGGTAGCTCAGCAGCACAGCAGGGTCAAGATGGGGTCACAACCAGCTGGAGAAGATGGAAATGTGCCATAAGATCCCCAGCTCAGAAAGATTTCACTGATTCACAGAATCACAGGATGGTTTGGGTTGGAAGGACCATAAAGCCCATTGAGTTCCAACCCCCTGCCACAGGCAGGGACACCTTCCACTAGCCCAGGTTGCTCCAAGCCC